AATCTGGGAGGCGGAGGTTACAGTGAGCCAACATCATAGCACTGTACTCCAGCGTGGGTGACAGAGCAAGACTCTGTCTCAAAAAATAATAATAATGCAAAATACAAATGTGTACAAAATAAAAAGCCAGCCCCTCACCACCCAACCTCATTCACTGAACACCTAGCATCTGTGGGCTCTGTGTCCCCTGTCCTTCTCTGAGGATTCAGTGGGAAACAAGGTGGTTCCTGCCTGCATGGGACATGGGAGGGGCAGACAACCATCGAGTAGATACATAAAGTGATTTCAGAAAGTGAGAAGTGGAAGCAGTAACACAGAATCATTTTATGAACAGTGACAGGGTATCTCTTTGGACGAGGTGGTCAAGGGAGGAACAAAGATCTGAATGGTGAGAAGGAGGTTGTCAGGTTAAGATCAAGGAACAAGTACTCCAGGTGAGGAACTGGCAAGGAGAAGGGTGTGGAGCTTCAGCCTGCTTACTGAACAAGGGCAGCAGCCTTGGGGCAGGGAGAGAAGGGCTTCGCCACCCCCATCTTTCTTACTCCCCAGGGATTGCTGAGGTGACAGTTTTGGTTATGCTACAACACAGATTTCTAGGAGCACACAAACATGCATCTAATTTTCTTTCTTTCCTCTTTCTCTTCCTCCCTCCCTCTCTCCTTTCTTTCTCCCTCCCTCCCTCGCTCCCTCCCTCCCTTTCTCTCTTTCTCTCTTGCTTTTCTTGCTTTCCTCTCCCTCCCTCTCTGTCTCTTTCTCACTTTCTTCCATTTTTGAGTTTCACTCTTGTTGCCCAGGCTGAAGTGCAATGGCGCCATCTCGGCTCGCTGCAACCTCCACCTGCCGGGTTCCAGTGATTCTCCTGCCTTAGCCTCCCGAGTAGCTGGGATTACAGGTGCCTGCCACCATGCCCAGATAATTTATGTATTTCATCATGTTGGCCAGGCTGATCTTGAACTCCTGACCTCAGGTGATCCACCTGCCTCGACCTCCCAAAGTGCTGGGATTACAGACACGAGCCACCGCGCCCAGCCCATTTCTTTTTTTTCTTTTTTCTTTTTTTTTTTTTTGAGACAGAGTCTCACTCTGTCACCCAGGCTGGAGTGCAGTGGTACAATCTAGGGTCACTGCAACCTCTGCCTTTCAGGTTCAAGCGATTCTCCTGCCTCAGCCTCCTGAGTAGCTGGGATTACAGGTGTGCGCCACTGTGCCTAGGTAATTTTTTGTATTTTTAGTAGAGACGAGGTTGTGCCATGTAGCCAGGCTGGTCTAGAACTCCTGACCTCAAGTGATCCACCCGCCTTGGCCTCCCAAAGTGCCAGGATTATAGGCATGAGCTACTGCGCCTGGCCTAATTGTCTTCCTTTCAACTCTTAAAAACAAAAAAACAAAACTTTCTCCTGTGTTCCAAGTTGGTCTGTTCACTGGGTTCAGGCCTGGGAAGAAACACGAAATGCAGAGTCACAGACTTTGGCCCTGCAAGAGAGAGCCCGACTCACTTGGGGACTCACTTGCAAAACTGGTTTTGTGTTACAAGCATGAAGCACAAGTAGGGGTGGGAAGGGCGACTGGGAGACCAGAGGTTCAGCTGCATTTCACAGAATCCAAGAATGTCTGATACTGTCCAATTTTCAAGGTCACTGGAAACCTAACCCCTTAGGTTCTGGTCCCAGCTCTGCCATCTGTCTGTGAGCTCTCCATTCAATTATTTTTCTCTCTGGGCCTCAGTCTCCCAATATTCAAAACGTGAATTTTCACAAAGTGAACATACCCATGCAACCAGCACCCAGACCAAGAAAAAGAACAATTTCCAAAAACCCCCCACAGCCTGTCCACTCCCAGTCACTTACCACCCAAAAGGTAACTATCTTGACTTCAAATTGCATAGTTTTACTTGTTTTTGAACTGTATATAAACAGAATAATATAGCATGCACTCTTTTATGCCTTGCTTCTTTTGCTCAAAATTGTATTT